GCAACGTTAACTTCCCCAATTCAAAATATTGTGTTATAATCATATTTTTCACAGGTCTGAGTACAAAACATGAGTTTTATTCCAACATTTTTTGTTGGAAAATTAGCATTAGTTTTTAAGATTGTACATGAACTGAATATTAAACCTTTCAACTAATTTACATCAAATCCTATCACCGCAAGACAGGACCGTGCAGCTATTAAAGAACAACATTTTGTTAACAGCACATATTACATGAAAAACCATACTTCAGGTATATTTAAAATACAACTTTCTGTTGCTTCTTAGAAAAAAAGCTGTCACACATTTAATGCAGAAACAGTAAGAAGTATCCCCTTTGTTTTTTTCCTCCTTCCCCACCCTCCAAAGACACTGGCCATCTGCAAAAGATAGCAACCAGTGGTAATGGTGTTGGCAAAATGAGAGATAAGTAACGACCTTCTGAACAAAACTTAAGTTAAACTTGTAATTCCTGTCAGTCACCACTAACTGGGGAATACTTCACTATTTACTCCTGGATGATGGTCCCCTGGGGAGCACCTGCCAACATGCATCCTTCCCACTTTTCTGGAAGGAAATTCCAAGATTCCATTTCAGCAACCAGTATTGCTCATCTGGTGCCTCAGGAGAGCTTAGAACCTCCTCTGCAAGGAGAAACACATCCTGCAAAAAAACCCCTTAAAGCATTCTCTGCTTACTGTTAAATTTTCAGTATCTATTACTTAATAAGTGAAACTCCACTAAAAATACTTGTGTGCATCTTGTTTTCACATTAAGTTATTCTTAAACCAAGAGTGGTACCAATACTAAACTCAAAAGACATTTTGATTTCATGGTTTACCAGACACAAAAATTTCCTGTACCTGAAGAGAGGTCATGAGCATACTTTGGAGTGAGAAAGCAAAAATCATAAAATCAAAACTGACTTGAACATACCAGGTCCTACCTTACCTTCTTGAAAACATCCGGAGAAACTGGTCTGAACTAGAATGGCAGGAAAAGATCTCACAGAGACCGTAGCAACAGAGCAGAAATTGCCATTCCTCGTCTCCAAACCAGAGAGATGAATTTCACACCAACTCCAGCCTTGCAAGAGTGCTTGGAGATCATCATCCCAGGCTGCCATGCCCAGGCTGATTTTCTGAATAGCCTCTGAATAGCTGAGAGGCTATTTGGTTTCTTCTCAATCAGGTAATTAGAAAGATCAGAGTCAACCCATGACAAATGTAAAGGCCAAACATTTGGGCCTTATCAGCTGTGAAGGAATATGACACTGCCTTTGAAAAGCAGATACTCTGAAACAGAAGTGTTCTAAAACTCAGGAGACAAACCCTAGATTTCTACTGCAACAACCATACTGTTACTAAGCTTAGCAATTTGTATTCAAATATACGAAATGCTCAGCTTTCTCGTGTCCAGAATGGGTCTCCATTCCTCATATCTCTTTTGAGTCAGAAAAGATGCTGTAGAAACCTTTTCCTGAACTAAAAACAAACCAAACTGATGGCTTTTGCAGCTATAGCACTGGGTAATATCTCCTGAAGGAGGCTCCTGTGAAAGAGGAAAATCGATTCAGTAGTGGCAAAGAGGCACAAACGTCCTGTTACACCTATTAATAGTACATTAGTCTGAGGCTAACATGATTCAGAGAGACATCTAACTTGGGACAAAAGGAGATATTGACGGAGGTGGCTTACACCCTCTGTAAATAAAAGCATCTTCTGAATCACACCTTTGAATACAGATTAAATAGCAGATAATTTACCCGTCAATGTGAAATAGTAGTGAAATCTCCTTCAGAGCTGACATGATGAGGCAGCAGGGGGGCTGCCTGACGTAGAGAAAGGATTTTTTTAACTGGTTGATTCTAGGAGTAGGAAAAAATAGATTCCAGGAAATCAAAGTGTTTCTGACTAGTTGCGTTACAGTACAACTACTGAGGCTATTCAGTGAGCCACTGAACTGCCAATAACAAATACCATCCCACAGACCACCCGAGATACTAACAATTTCTCATCTATCAGCACCAACTCAGATAGTAGTCTCCTTTAGTCTCAAACACCTCCTTATGACAAAATATGTGATCAGCTAGGCACACCTGTTTTCCTTCACTGAGTAGGGCTGCAGACAATTATTTACCTACAAACTTTGTTACAGATATCCAGTATCAGGTGAGATGAATCCCATGACTTTTACTCAATATTGAGCCCATACCTCTGAAGTCTCAACAGATGTTAAGCTGTTCCGAGCTATGTCCTTTCTTAAAGCAATACAAAGATCTTCACAGTAATCTAAAAAGGGAAAAGATCTCTACTAGACAAAAGCTTAGATCCTGTTACTGCTTCTTGGAAGACAACAAATACATTTCTTAGAATTTGAGAGACCATCAAGCCCCATACAAGTACAATTGGCCAAGCTAGCAAAATAAGAGTGGACTAAATAATTAATAAGAAAAGGCTAAGGTTGTTCCCCAAAGATGCACAGTAAAATACAAACTGAAAAAACACAGGGTGGCAAACACTTGACTTTCGTATTATTTTTAATACCACCCTCATTGTATTTGGAAGACTCAGTGTATGCACGTACCCCTATAGATACCACTTAAGGCAAAAATAAAGCTGTATACCCAGCACATACACACATACAGAGCTATCAGGAAATTCACCTTCCTTCATTATTTAATAAAAATTTCCAACTGTGCAACACATCTTACTCTCATGCATGTACTCCATCCATGAGACTGAAAGATCTAGACATGTAGAGAACAGACAACATCTGGCATAGTAACAAATGTTCTATGCTTGGGGAATAGCAGCCCTTGTGCTCAGCATTACTTTGAAGTCTCTGCAGAGAAAAAGCAGTGACAGTGCCACAGCAGTACACAAACCCTGTGTTGAAAACATGAAGTCTGCAAGTCGCTTTCTTACTCAGATTTTGCACAGGATTCTCAGGGGGATCTTGCAGAGAAAGCCAGGCAAAGGAGACTAGACATTTATCTGCGTTAGTATCTTCCATGAACAACCCAGAGCCGCAAACAAAAAGCAAGTAGTTTCACCTTCAGAACAATAAGAACAGATGAGAGTTTAAATGGGAACTCACCAAAGCTTCAGGAGATGAACTACTTTTGAAGACACTGCTCCTGAACGCTAGTTACTATTGTATGCTTAAATAAGCTAATGAAACTGCAATACTAAACACTGTGTCCAAAGTCTGTGAAGTTTTCTAGTTTGTTTTCTGTTGTTACCGAGTACAACTTCGAATACTTTTGCTTGGACATGCAGGGTGGATTCAGTACCTCTTTGTTCTGCCAAAGCAGAGCACCGCTACTGTTTGCGGCGCTCTTTATGCCACATCAGCTACATCTCTTTACCAAATGCAATGGCTGACCATTTTGATAAAACATGATTTAGAGTTCTACACTGAGGAAAAATAGTTGAAATAAAACTATGACCCTTCCCATACCAGTACCATGGTTAAATTAGTTCAGCTCCTTCCTAAGGATGTTTTTCTGGTTTTGGGTTTGTTTTTTTTTTGGTTTTTTTTTTTATAGCTCCAGATAAAGCTACTGTTCTACTATACTTTTTTTGGGCGAGAGCACTTCAGTGCTGTGGAAGATCAACACTGGGTGCTTAAGAATTTTGTATTCCTGTAAGCATCTATTAAGGAACCTGAAAAGCTAAAATTAGTGATTCAGTTTTTAAATAGTATTAACCCTGGCAAGTTCAGTGGGAACAGGCAAGACAAGACCTCCAGGTACTCCCTGGAACTGACCCGCCGTCAGGCTGGGACAGCTGCTCACTGTGTCCTTTCCTTTGATAATGATTGTTAACAAGGTAGAAGCAACTGCACGAAGTTGCTCTGTGCTGGCTCTGGCACACAGGACAACCCCATCTCCTGTCTCTATTTGTTCTCATTAACCTGGACTGAAAGGAAGAAAAGATGTTTAAAGTTGGTCCATTAGGAGAATAGCTTGGATGCTGCTCTCTTACATTACAGAGAAACAAAGCTGATGCTGTTTCAGGGAAATACTAAATGTGCTACTATTTTCTCCACATAGTGGTAATCCAAAAAAGGGAAAAGGCTGAAGCTTTGAGAACAAGTACAGAAAGCAAGCTGCAGGGAAAAACTTAAATGTTTTAGACTGAAGGAAAATTCAAATAAAGAATACTTCAAACTACAGTGACAACCCATATGGTTAAGGCAGTTTGTGTCACAAATGTTTGGATGTGACGGTCCTACAGAGTTTTTGATAAGCCCATTCTGTATAAGGTTTTTTTTTGAAACCTGAATCAAAGGCAAAACTAAGTTTATTTGTCAGTAAGAGAGAAGTTTTACATGTAAAGTTCTGCCTTTTCCTGTTATAAAGGAAGAAAACTTACACCCTCTTTGAAAAGACTTTTATGTTTTTAACAGACCATTGAGATTGACTTGAAGAACACTTCAGTAAACAACTGAAGTTTTTTGAAGATCAATGCGTATACTAACATCTTCAAAGTAATAGAGCACAAAAACTTCACTCACCTTTGTTAGAAATCAGATACTCTGCTTATGCTTGCTGGTATGTTAGCTAGTAAATGATGTATTGCTCTTGCAGTACCAAAAAGACCTGAAAAGTTTTTTGATTCTTTCAGGTCAGGCTATCAACTGTTTTTTTTTTTAAACAAAACACAGACTACTGTAACAGTATCACTGGCTGCCAGATCATGTTGTACACTTGCAGCTGGAACAACACTATATTTTATAAGTCATGAAATGCAATTGCATCTGAACACAAAAAACATTTTAAGTCAAGATATGTAAATTTACTGTCATAAAAGGAATGCCATTAATTTTCCATTCTACACACTTGGGTGAAAAACTTGTTAAAAAGTCAAGAAACAAACCGGCATAAAAATCTGTAATAGGCAACAATATACAAAGTTTTAAATATAAAACCATGACTTTTATAGTTTGTTACTTGCATCTTTTCACAAGAGGAAATTAAAAGAACCACACATCACTGAACTTCTACACAAGCTTCTTGTGTTTCAATGTCATTTATTGAGGAGTGAATGAGATACTGTCAGACATGCCAAAGAGACTTCACATTCAAGGGCTGGAAGCTGAACAGCTTTCCTCATTGAGTCACTGTACAAGTTGTTTTTGGGAATCTGAAAGTGCAATCAATGAGGTCTTCATGCTCGATGTTTGTCTTCAGTTTTTCATCTTTTGATCTACTAACTTGTTGGGCAGAAGGACACTTTCTACCCTATAAAGACTCACACTCCAATTAATACAATTAACACCAGATGTAGAGAAACGTTTATCTGTTATAACGTACATCTACTGCTGAATACAAGGTCTTAAAGCTGTTTAATTCATTATGTCTAGTGAGAAAACAACTCGTTTCCCTTTCACCATCATATGGATGGCTTATACTGTTAGAAAAATACTCTTCAGTGCTATTGTAGGGCTTACAGGAAACTTCTTCCATGTTGTGGGATAAAAACCGATTTGAACACCGTTCTGGAAGAATGCTTCTTCCTGCTGCCACTGCCTGTAGGTTGCAGAAGAATGGCCTACATGCACTACAGTTCTGGTTTTACTCAAAAAAGAAACAAAAGAAACCTAAACAATAGGGTAAACGTTTATTTGGAGTTAGTTTTCTTGCAGATGATAATTAAGGCCCTTCAAGCAGAGTTCAGGAGCTCCTGTATGGCTGCCTGTTGGTCTGCATTGAGCTGTGATATGCATTCTGTCCACAGTCCTCCCGACGTCTAGAAAACAAATGAGAAGTTGTCTTTAGGCAGGCTGACAAGCTTCTAAGGCACATGCTAAACTTTCATATGTTTACACAGCTCAACATTCACTGGGTTTATCCCTGTAATATGTATGCCAAAGAGAACAGGCTGAAATTTTCAGTTACACAGTCCTACGCAGGTCCAACTAGAGATGCTCTAAAATGCTAAACAGCGGCAAACTCTGGTTAAATAGCACCAGCATAACTGATTTGAAACTCCTGGAACTCCCTATAACTAAGTGGGTCAAATGACAATTGACACTCTTAAGTTAACCAGAGCCTAAGCCATTTGCTCCATTTTGCACTAAAGTTAAAAGATCAATTTCAGGCAAAACTGAACCACCCCTAAACATGAGAGTATCTTTTGGGCACCGGTGCACCAGTAACACATTCAGAGGAACGGAGCACTGGGATTACAGCATGACATGCTACACTGTGTGTGCACGTGCAAAGTTCTGCTGCCAACACATGGTGTTACTCTTTAGTGAAAGGAATGGTAAATTACCTCCCAGAGAGAAGAGAATGTACACAGTATCTATTGGGTAAATGTAAACCCACACTTTCCTGCCCCTCAGTATACCTCACCTGTGCTGCCACAGCCCTCTGATGAGATGTTAGCTTTTAAAGTCACCGACAGTATGGACTGGTTCTAATAGTACCAGAAAATGCCGAAAATTAAAAAAAAAAGGTTGGGAAAAAGTATTTATTCACTTATCAACAGAAGCTGGAAGCAACTGGCACCCAGCCTTCTTTAGAAGAGCAATGATAGTAAAAAAAACTGCAGGTGACTGGCTGTAGGTCTTTAAATTTAAATTGAGACAATACACTGAAATACTTCTGGCCTGAGAACACTTAAGCATGAGCAAAAAAGTTTACATTTAGTTCCAGTTATGACCACAATGGTACTCACGTCAGATGCTGGCAGTGGAAAAGTTTACTGAGATCATTAAAAAAAAGTCTCTTTTGCAATCTGGGAAGCAGCAACAGATCGTTATCAACTACACAGCCTTTAAAGCTCCTACCATGGTATAAAACATTTTCAGTGTTTTACTGAAGTCAAAGTACTATGTGTAAAGAGAGACAGGATTGGTAACAGTAAAATAAAATTATATTTAAAAAAAACCCATGACCTTTAAGATTGCCCCCCCACCACCTCTAGTATGAAGGTAAATGCAGAAGTCTTGTTTCCATCTTATGTTCCCATCATTCCTGGCCAAAACAAGACTTTGCTATACACAGCTAATCTATACATGCATGTGCCACAGTATTGTTAAAAAAAAAAAAAAAAATCAACTAACATTGCACATTTAAGGTAAAGTGAACAAACACATTAGCATACACTAATAACAAGTTCAATACCCAGACTTTAACTACTGACAGCAAAGATTCATATCTGTCAGCCAGAATCTAGAGCAGCCACTTACACCACTTTCACTTTGAAACTTTGATTTCATTGCTTCTATGCCTTCACATTTTTAACAAAGTCATTTCCTGACAGACATAATGGATCTCACAGGCTGATACACTCATCCAAGTGAATCCTTTCCAAAATCAAGTATTCCTAAAATTCTTGAACCTGAGTTTTGCCACATCATGCCAGGTAGAATGGATGATAATTGAACAGCTGCTGCTCCAAATCCTCTGTGCATTTTTATAAGCTATATGCTTTCCAGGCACACTACCTGCTGTCATTCAGTGCTGCACCCGTCAAGTACGTCCACCTGATAACATCTGGCCCTGGATCAGATCTACCCTATGAGAACTACCACTTACAACACTATAGAGAGGTGCATCTTAAATATTTGAACATCCTCATCACCCAGCAATGTAAGTACTCATTAAGGCATAAAGGAAGTGAACCCTGAGGCAGTTCCCCAAAGTTAGAGGAAAACATTGAACAGCCACCTATATTTGCACTGGATTAAAGAGGGCAGTAGTAAAATTATTTGTGGTTTGCACTCATACTCCAGCAAAGATCCCAAGCCTCTGCTGTATTAGTAAGTCACCACAGGATGCTGGTGACCCTTACAGGAACTACATATTGGATCGATCCTGCAGTACAGTTCACTGATAGAGACAGGTAGATTTCTCTCCAGATTTTAATTTTTGTCTCATTAAAAAAAAACCCCAAACAACCCAAAACCCATAAACAACTAATACTGGCTAGCATGTTAACCAACTAGCTGCATATACCTTAAAACACTGTTTTGTTTTTCTTTTTTTTTTTTTTTAATTAATAAGCTTCTGAAGTTTATCAAAAGAGACAGACATTATTCCAGTGCAAATACTACTAAGTTTTACCATTAGTGGTTCAAAGAATGTCCAAGGATCTGCAGGATCACTGGTTGAAGCATTATTCTCCAAGGAGACAAGGCTCTCAAAATTGGTTTAACAGTTCAGTTACTTCTAAAAGTAGATTCTAAATGTTCCCTTTATACCCAAGCAAGCATTTATTTACCTGCACTTGGCGAACAACATTAGCCAACCGCTTGGTACATGGATCTTCCTGTTTAATAGCTTCATGAATTTCACCATCCGCAATTATACCAAATATTCTGGGAAGGTTAGAGTTGTTGGGACCGAGGACAACTGGGTTGTTGCTGTTAAAATCAAAATATATATTACAAATAAGTTAATGTTTAACTAAAAAATTTAATGTATTTTACATTCAGCTGAGTGATTTTGAAATATCTTACTCTAAACCTGCTTATTTACATGTAAGTTTCACTCAGCTGAATAAGTATGAACAGCTTTGTTGCCCGCTGACAGAATGTTCCCTTCTCCTGTTAATATTTAACCAGCTGATCCTTTCATCAGCCTACACTTTATCAGGAAGAAATTCTGAACTTTACAGAATTGTTGAGTTCCATGCAGATGGAACTGTAAACAGTGTGACAGAAATACCCTGCCTAAAAGGGCTTATTCCTCTCCCTCTCAGTGCTGCAAGGGGGGGAGGAGGTTGTGTTACTGGCGTCAGGAGCACCAGTGATTTCAGCTTCTTGCCAGCACTCTCACTGACACAGCAAGTAAGCAGTTCTGCTCCCTCTTTCCCAGCCAAGTGTTGAAGTAAAGGAGTGCTGGCAACCAGGGATCTGGGTAGAAAACATGATCTACTTCCAGCCCTGCCACCTACCGCTGCTGGAACGCAGAAGCTGTGAATGCAAGATGGACAGAGAGCCAGAAGTACGTAGCAAGGCTGAGCCACCTGCACAGAGCTGGGTAAAAAAGTGTGCTAGTACTGTTATTCCCAATTTCTATATACATGTGTGTATACATATATGTCGGTATTATTATGATGTCTCTACATAACTGTATTATTACCAGCATAGGGACTGCAGTTGCCAGCAGCCATTTTGAGACCTTGCCTTAGTAAAGCATCAAGATACAAGGTGTTCGCATAGTATGGAAGACTGTAGGAAAGCTATTTCCTTTCTACTTTTCTACTAAGATATAATACATTGTCAGCCAGAACATGGCTGCTACATAATGATTCAGAAGCTGACATTCCTCCACTCAATTATGAAGTGCAACTTGCACCCACACTAGATTATCTTTTTTTCATTAACCTATGGGACAGAGAACAAATCTAAGGAACAGGCTGTGGAACAATACTAACTGAAATTACTATTATTATATTTAGGGAGATAGCACTGTACCATGAATATAAATTCCTCCCTGTATTATACTCCCTGTATTATTTCTCTACTTCATAATTTGTTTTGTTGATACTCAAGCTTCTGGAAAGCAAAAAGATGCAAAGCTACTTTAAAAGGTTATGAAACGAAGGCTGCAAAGGGCATCTGTGCTGCTCTTACATAAGAAGACCTGGTCAGTTATTTATGCTGATATGTAAGCAGAGTATCAAAAATTTTCCTGAAATCTTCTGTTGAAGTTCCCAGCTGATCCTTTCCCATCATGTACATATAAAGCAGGCAGGAATTTTTTCAAGCCATGCAAACACTAGTTAGAATGAGAACACCAACTGTTTAAAAAACAGCATTAACATCATGGAAGGCTCAGTTCTGTCATTACAAATTATCTTCTCTAAAGCATATGCAGACCAACCTGGCAGTTTCTCAGTTCTGGAAAACGACTGCAAGGAAAGAACCTGCAAACAGGCTTACTTTCTGCATTTATGTTATGACTTTGCCTTACCTCTCAATTAAGTCACACAGATAATTGAAAGTATAAACAGCTTCTTCTTTATCTTCATGAAGTGGAAGCCATGATAACCAGTGTGGCAGGACTTCTTCAACATTTATACAGTCAGGCTTGAACTTCATTATCTTTCCTACAGCTGAAATGCAGTTCTCTGTTGCATTGACATTCTCTTTGGTTTTGGCATCTGCTGACTGAATGACTCTCACCAGCAATGGAAGCGCCTCTAATAGTTAAACACAAGAATTAAGTTTAATGCATAAACAAGTTATATTTTCTTAACATCACAAATTCTACATGAGACTACTGCACATATTAAAAACAGGGTTTTTTTGTGACCCAGCCACCAAAATCCAGTCATCCCAATGTTCCATTACTTCTAGGTTCTTCCCTGCTCGATAATCATCATATGAAAAACAAACAGATAAGCTATGCAAGGAAACAAAAGATAACAGCTCCTGCAAAAGTTTGGATTTGCTTTAGAAGTTCAGAAGAAAAAAAAAAATCTTCCGGTGTCTCAACTGAAGTTATGTAACCTACAATATACAAGACGTAGTAATTTATAGTAAAAACATAGGTAACAAGCATTGTCTTTTAAATCTAACACGTTCTATAAACACTGGATGATAAAAAGCACTAATACAGTGACATTCACATTAATTTGGACTGCAGCACCTGTCTACAGTGTATGCCTGCTGTACACCTATTGCTTGCATACACATATATACATATATAAATATACAGATGTACATACACATACACACCTCCCACCACTAAAAGGTGCACTAGGAAAAGCTCGTAAGAGTAATCTCATCTGGTGAATCCACCTGGCATAATTTAGATAGTAAAAATCAAACATCAAAGAAAAATGCCAATTTTCTTGCTACATTAATAGCAACTTTTTTTTTTTTTTAATGGTTGTGCAGGTAGCCAGATACACATTTCTAAATGCACCTTAACGTCATGTTTTTAGTTACTAGTGTCTATACAGACTTCAGAGCACTACACATGCATGCACGAACAATTGTCCTTGTGTTCTGCTAAAAATATAATGCTAAAGCTGTGAAATTCTATATCAGCACAGAAAATGGGTTGTGGAATTGTGCAGAAAGAACACCTCAAAATAACTCCAATTACTGAGGAAGAGCGAGATCTCACACTACTTCATTGTGATGAGTAAGTAGCAGGTTTGCAGTTAAGGAATACACAATGACACTTGCTATATTAACTTCACTGAACTAGATTTTTGAGGAATTTAGCAGCTATGGAAAAATATGATTAACCCTAAACTAGATAGGACTGATAAACATTACAGAACTGCAGGAACATTGGTCATCGGACCCATTAGGTTGTGTATTGAATGCAAGATAACAATGGTGGACTTTTCTCCAAAGTACAATTTGTTTCATAGAAGTTTACAATGTCTAGGCAAACTGAGTCTGCATTTTATACCACAGGTTTTCATGACTGCTGAAGCTAAATCTCATCTGTGTTTCCTCATATTCCTTAACACTAATGGATTACTCTCTAGGTGTGAGTGTCCTTGCAGCCATTAGATTAGGAAGGCATGAAAATGAATCAGTATGGGTTCCCCCTACAGCTTAGCAGCTGAGTTTTCTTCTTGTCTAGAAAATACATCTGTTCTCACGTTGGTGTTGTGATAGATGATCCCTAAAAACCCTTTTCACTATAAAAGACCGTCTTCTATAATAATATTTTTTTTCCGCAAGGACTGACTGCTCAGACATCTTTCACCACCAAAAGTTTTGAAGCCACTGGTACAATTTAGGAAGAAACACATGCAGTTGACTAATACAATATTCATAGAGAATACCTCATTATATTCTTCCACCATCATAGGAAATAGCAGCAATTTTGACAGCCACATAAATTGTAACCTTGTAACCCCATTTAGAAAGTTACTTGATTTGCTGTGGTTTTTCCTTCAATTTCTTTACTAATTCCATTTTTAATTCTTTTTGTTTCATCATAACATACCTCTTTTGCTATTTACAAGTTCTCCCCATATTCCTGTATTTCTTCCCCAAAATGCTCATGTTAATACATTTGCTTTTTCTGAATAGTCTCGAGTCTTTACATACTGCTGCAAACTTGCAATAGAATATGCCAGTGCTATATATTAATCAGTAAAGAAATTAATTATAAATAAAAGCTCACAAACATGGTGTTTTCAGAGAAGACAGTAAAATCTATGGGGTAGAAAGCTCATGCCATTGGCTTACTTGGTTTCTAATCACAGCACATCTTCATCTATTAAAATAAACCGCAAGGTTCTTTCATGCACATACAAAAGTAGTTCTATATACTTTTAAGGTGCCTGCTAATAAGTTGTATGCTGTAATGTAAAAAGGTTATTTTGCCTAAACATCCAACTGAAGGAGAACCCAGGTGTCTGGGTTGAATCAAGCATTATTTGTCAAAATACAAAGAAAAGGATCAAAGATGCTACATAGTTTAAGTGGACCAAGATAAAGCCTACTGAATGAAAAATAAAATTATACTTCATCAGATGCTAAAACCCCTCAAAACTCCAAAATCAGAATGATCTTGATCCCAGTCTCTAGGCCTCTAGTTCTGGGGCAAGACAAAAACTTTATGTAAAAGTTCACAAAAACCCCTTTTAGGAAGTATTTTTCTAGACAATTTTAAATTGTCGCCATGTGACAATGAAAATTAAAACCTCTACTGATGTTGGTAAGGCTTGTGTTAAAGCTCTAATTTATTCCTATCACATGGTTCTTATTTTCTTACATAATTTAATTCAGCTTTCATTTAAGACTCATGTGAAATAAATAAATAGTTGAAAGAGCTAAGTATTTTCTTAAAAAAGGAAAAAACCTCTCTAGTGTGCAAAATTTGTCAACCGGCAAGAAGAGTGCCAGCAGACAATAATTTATTGAAATTCAAGACAGATTTGAAGTTTTAGAGAAACACGCAACATTCAGAAAGAAAGCTGACAAAATGTTTCCGATAGGCATTCTCCTTTCATTTCTTAGTCACAGAAATTAGGCTCCTTCTTTTTACATAATGGGACAGCAGATAGCCACATTAGTTGCATTCTAGGCTACTCCTTATTTTTTCCAAACATCTAAAGGGTTTTGCATTAATATGTAACCACATTAGTATTAAGAAGCAACTATGAGACAGGTGTGTACCAGAAAGGTATTTTTTTATTAAATCAACATTTGCATGGTAGACCATATTTTAAAAAAAATATGTATATCAAGTTTGCTAAGCAGTAAGTCCTGCAACAAATGCTACTACGCAGAACATCATAGAAAGCCAAAAGAATTCAGGCACTTCACTAATCATCATCAGTTTGCCACACAGGTCATACTGGCAATCTGTTTCGCTGCCAAAGAGAAGAGACGTCATCAACTAAAAGGTGAACAATTTGTATTCCCAGCCCCCCTGCTTCTCACAATCACAAATATTTTTAGCAGATGCATGTATGTACCTGTGCAAAAAGGACGATAGCTGTCACCACCAAATTGTGCCATAACTCCAATGCCGTAGGCAGCTGCTTGCCTAACCTCTGGGCTGTTGTCACATATTGACTGTAGCATTGGCCTCAGGAAGTATTCAGCGTACTTGAACGAGGAGGGGCTGCAGTGCTCTACAATGTCGTCAAAGATGCACAGCCCCCACTGCCTGTCTGGCCATGGCCTATGTGGACACTGCATCAAAACCACGTAACATTTAAGCCACCATAAAGTCAGTAATTTTGTACAGTCAATGATTATATCAATAAAACAATCATAGTAACAGTGGTCTAGTGTTTTTGTTAAATTCTTCCTGGATTAAATTTAGTCCCACAAAGACATGATTTTCTGTAGTGATAGTTGCAGCAATACCATAAACAAAGCAAAATCCAGGTGAGCTACTTAAAATAATAATGATTTTAGACTAAATCCTTTACCCCTATTTCAGTCTTAATTTTCCCCACTAGTCTGCAACACTTTTTAGGCCACCTTATTGAAATCCCTTTTAGAAAATGTCAGACACTCCCAGGCAAGTTAAACTTCTGAAAACAGTTGTGTGTGTCAATGATTCTGGGTCTTGCAACACAGAAATTAGAAGCAGCACAGCAGAGCAGTTGTTCAAAAAAGCACAGGGCAACAACTTGCTACTTGATCCAGAGTAAACCTTCAGCTCCCTCTATTTTGTAAAACAGTAATTGCTACATTCTATCCACCAAGTTCTCTACTATTCCAGCATGGAAAGCCTACTAGCACAACAGAAAAAAATAATCAGTCAAATTAAAAGCAAGCACGGTACTTACAATTAGGTTGACAATTAGCGGAAGTAGTCTTTCGAACCATGGCAGTACCTTCTCCTTATAACTGCTGAATATTGAGTGCAAAATGTCTGATACTTTAGTCAAAATATAAATGTCACTGTCATCCTGATAGGAAAAGGATACAACTCACATTAAGACTAATGTTCTTTAATATTCTGGAAGTCACATTAAATGCTAAGGTCTCTAAAATAATGGAATAAAGTTGGTTTTACAAAATCAAATAATTAAACAATCTTTTTAAGTACACTATTTTTCAACTCTTGGTCTAATCATAGAATGGTTTGGGTTGGAAGGAATTTGAAAGGTCATCTAGTTCCAACACCCTTCCACTAGATCAGGTTGCTCAAAGCCTCATCCAGCCTGGCCTCGAACACCTCCAGGGATGGGGCATCCACAGCTTCTCTGGGCAGCCTGTGCCAGTGTCTCACCATCCTCACAGTAAAAAAAAATTTCTTCCTAACATTTAATCTAAATCTGCCCTCTTTCAGCTTAAAACCATAACCCCTCATCCTGTCACTACACTCCCTGATAGAGTCCCTTCCCATCTCTCCTGTAGGCCCCCTTTAATTACTGGAAGGCTGCTATAATGTCCCCACGGAGCCTTCTCTTCTCCACACTGAAGAACCCCAACTCTCTCAGCCTGTCCTCATATGGGAGGTGCTCCAGCCTTCTGACCATCTTCTTGGCTCTCCTCTGGACCTGCTCCAACAGGTCCATGTCTTTCTTGTGCTGAAGAATCCAGAGCTGGATGCAGTATTGCAGGTGGGGTCTCACAAGGGCAGAGTAGAGGGAGAATCACCTCCTTTGACCTGCTGGCCACACTTCTTTTTATGCAGTCAGGATGGAATTGGCTTTCTGGTCCGAGACTGCACATTACCAGCTTATGTGCAATTTCTCCATCCACCAGTACCCACAAGTCCTTCTGCACACAGCTGCTCTCAATCCATTCAATCCCCAGTTTATACTGATCTATATTGATACCGGAGATTGCCCCAACCCAGGTGCAGGACCTTGCACGTGGCCTTGTTGAAAGTTCATGAGGTTTGCACAGGCCCACCTCTCAAGCCTGTCAACGTCATTCTGGATGGCATCGCTTCCCTCCGACATATCAACTGCACCACACATCTTGGTGTCGTCAGCAAATTTGCTGAGGGTGCACTAAATCCCACTACCTATGCCATTAATAAAGATATAGAGCAGTACTGGTCCCAATACAGACCCCTGAGGTACGCCCTTTGTTACTGATCTCCATTCGGACACCAAGACGTTGACCACTACTCTCCGGATGCCACCATTCAGCCAATTCCTTATCCACCATATAGTCCATCTATCAAATACATATCTCTCCAATTTAGTGACAAGCATGTTGTGTGAGACTGTGTCAAAGGCCTTACAGGAGTCAAGACAGATGACATCTGTTGCTCATCATAGAAGCTGCCAGACTAGTCAGGCATGATTTGCCCTTTGTGAAGCCATGTCAGCGGCCTCTAATCACCTCCCGGTCTTCCATGTGCCTTGAGAAAGCTTCCAGAAAAATCTGTTCCATCACCTTACCAGGCACAGAATGAGACTGAATGGCTGGTAAGTTCCCAGAATCCTCCTTTTTACGCTTCTTAAAAATATAAGTGGATTGCTAGTACCCAATTACCTAGGACTTGAAGGTTTGGTTCAGGACAGAAAAATTTTATGAAGACAAACACTGCCTTGTGCAAATTTACTGCTTCAATGGACTCCCTTTACAGAAGACAGAAGGCCCTTTTCCTCTTCTGTACGTTAACAGATAACCTAACAAGCTTTTATTGAAAAGTCACTGGATAACTGCCTTTGTGACACAAGATTGTGGCAAAAATACAGGCAATATTAATTTTGCCTCTCATTGCTTAAGTTAATTTTTCACCTTGCCCAATTAATGGATCAAACTGATGAAGTAAAGATCCTTGGCTCACATTCAGCTATCAATTCATGTTATATCTGCAAATAAGGATTATTCCCTGGACACACTTGTGTTCGGAAGACCCTTTATCTTTGTTTTAAAGCACGTTCTGTTGTACTCCATATGGTTCCTTTAATCCATTTATACTTTAACAGGTAGGGAAAACAGAATACAGCTAGTTTCTCGTCCCTAGGGAGAAACTAATAAGTATTTCTCATGCAACAGACAGCTTCCCATAATCGGATACTTAAACCCTCCCTACTTAGACAACTTCTCCGTTGTCAAGGCATAATTCAAGCAATAACTCTGAACATTCGCACAAATGGAAACAGAGATGGAGAACTGCTACAGCACACCACAAGGTCCACCTGGCCTAGTATTGTTTGTTTACTAATACCTGGTAACAGATGCTCAGGGGGAGAGCATAACACTTGCTTAGTGTATGCCTTCTCCTACCCCCTTCTCGTATCAGCAGTTTAGTTATTGCCTAAGCTAGGACCATATCAGAAACTAATCTTTGAGTATCTTTCATGACTTCTGTTCTCCCTTATGTTTTTGCTGCCTTGAGGTAAAGGCTACATAAACATATTCCGGGACCAAAGATGTATATACAAATGTTATTTATTACCATATGTTAATTCTGTCCATATGGCAAGTGACAGTCTAGTTCCACTCCTACTTTCACAGGGTAATGAAGACAAGTCTTCCTTGCAGTCTTTTTCAGCAAGGTCAAATATCAATTAAAGCATTTTAAAAAATGCCTTACAACTCTGTTGCAGAGTAAGGATTCAGCTTTTCTGAAACTGCTGATTCCTAGCATTTTCTCTCATTATCACTACAGGGTGACACATAAACGCCTAACTCACTGTCTACAAGAATGAACAGTGAACAATGCAAATAGGAAAGGAAGAAAAATCAGGGAAGGCTTTTGTCTCAGAACTCGAGTTTTGTTATTTTTTGATCCCAAGCAGCGTGTAGGTGCCAGAAATCTATCCTTTTGAATGCTGGCCTAATGTTCCCAAAGGAAAGGGGCTCAAGAACTGCATTGTTTTTCAAGAAAGCATTTCCATATGGGTACATGATCTGTTAACATATATTCTGGAGCCCACATACAGGGTTAAACTCACGTAAATAAGCTTCATGATTCAACTTCACAAGTTTCACACCTGTAATGTGTGTCAAAAAAATGTCCTAGTTTTTAAATTTACCGAGTACCCTTTATGTCTCATGTTATAAGCATCAGTGACATTATTCTTTATTACTCTCCCCATACCAATAATGATTGAATAGAACTATCGTATCTCTTCTGCAGTCACCTCCACTTCAAACTGAAAAGTCACTTTGGTACCTTAACATGAAAATAGTCACTTTGGTGTTCTCTTGTAAGCAAACGCATTATGCCAGCTATTCATTCTGCTGCCCTAATTTGATACTATTTTAGGTCTATTATTTTTGAGACAGGCTCCTGACCTTACATGTCAGAGGTCTAGGTATCAGAGGTATGCTCAAGGTTAAGTGCCACCTAGGTCATAAGCCACAAAGAGAAAGTCAGAAAGGCTAGGCCTTAGATTATCACTGATACAGCATCTGACAGCAGACTAAAGTGATGCAAGAATTGTTTAAGAGGATGAAGAAAATGAAGAGCCATATCCTGAACTTCTTCCTTCAGTATACTGGACAAAAACCTTTTCTGTTTTCTAATTCACATATGTAGTGTTACCCTTTTCTTACCAGACGTTTTGAAGGAATACGGTAACAGAACATTCTTCCAGGAAGAAATAATTCTGAGGATGCACTATGCTTTAACTGAGTAGCATAGCATATCCATGTGATGTATTTCTATCCTCATGCTTTATGAGTGGAAAAACTCCCCAAACCGACTTACTTCATCTTGTAATGACTCTTCAACTTGCTCATCATAGTCTTCATCTTGTCTTTTCACTAAATCAAAAAACAAATATTAAACCATTACATTTCTGCAAGTGCATAAGAAGCCTGTGAAAGGGAAAAAATGATGCAGAAGCAAATTTAGAAAACAGGAAACAACAGCTAAAGATGCAACAGGAATTTTCTGATTTTGAGAAGCTTCAAAGAGCTTTCACAGCAAAACAAGAAGTATAAATGAGACAGCTCAGTTTAAGAATGTGTAAAGCGCATGAAACAGAAATAAATGCACCAGCTTGTCCACAAGGACAAGAAAAGTCCATAGAAATAAGAAACTACCATTGCTTTAAGAAAACTGCAAAGACTTCAGATGAAAAAAAACACAGAAATGACAACACCATAGGCATATACACTGTCTTCAAGTAAATCTGTCCATCAACTTTTGATTAAACTACAGTATTTCTGCAAATGATGCCATCTTCATCCTCCCAGAGCTTACAACTCATGGATTCTGTTGTTTCAAAGTCCAATTACCTTACATAAATATGCAAATTGCACAAATATGAACTAAGTTTTTTCTGTGTGTTCAGAAATTATTAGGAATTCTACTTTAAAGAACAGCTATTATCACATCTTAACAGGAATTTGTGTTAACTTACCCTGTCTTAGTTCTTGATTTTTAAAGTGCTCCTCTAGTTTTCCTTTCAATATTCCTCCAAGTTCTTCAAAGTGTTCGTTGTTAAGGCATCCATCTCCCATTACCTCAATGCACTAGGTAAAATAGATTGATCAGATTTTCAGCCTTAGGTTATATGAACGTTTAGATTTCATTTCTAAATGAAATCTAAGCACACAGAGAATATTAATACATGCTTTGCTTTAAGTGATCACTAGCGGAAATAATACTAATACTAATAGAACATTAATATTGTAATCAATGCTATAACAATATTTATAGTCAAACAAAAATTCATGCAGAGGAAGCCTTGCATTTCTTCCAGCCATTTAAATGAACATCAAACACATGCCCTTTCTTACTGTAAGGGCTACGAACAGTAATGCCTCAAAATCTGTAAGGATGAAAGTTACCTTTGCAAAAGAATGCATTATTTCTGAGAGAACATCTGAATCTGGTTCTGTCCCAATGGCTTTGATGAGCGCATCACACATGAAGTGCCACATCTGTGTGAGGTACTCTGGCCCACGAACTCTAGCACATTCAAGAAGGAGGGGCATCGACTCTGCTGCTGCCACTCGAACACGTTTCATTATTAAGGAAATAAAACAATAAATAATAAAGTGCTTCAAATTTAAGCACCCACCACCATAATGAAGTTATTAGTTTTCTATCTAAAACTGATTCTTTTATTGCAGTCCAGTGCATTCGATTTCTTAATTAGATGCAGATTAAGAAAATTTAACTGTCTGCTATTTAAAAGTTGTTTCAGGCCATGACAGAAAAGCTGTTCAAGTTCTCCTTCACTTTGTTGGCACAAACATCACTTTCTCTGCTGTTTGCTTTTAACATTATAGACATGCTTATCTAAAAAGAAATCAGGTGAAAAAGTAGGATACGCTGCCTAAAATAGTGTGTAAAGCAACGTTCTCAGAAACAATTTCTGCTATAAAGCAACAGAATATTTTAACACCAACACTTTCAATTCATTTAAGAAAACAGTAAGCACAATGTTGGTTCTTCCAAACTAAGTTTCCATTTTCACAGTAGAATTCGTTAATAGGATATCATCATGGAAATAGAACTTCAACAAGGGAACCATCAGCTTTACAACTTGCTCTGTGTACTCCACAAATCCTTCTTTTAGCTCTTTTGCATAGCAAACCTGAAACACAAAGCATGGAAGTGCCACTTTTAAGGGAAAAAAACTGCTACTAATATTTTTCAACTATGTAATGGTGAGAAAGATTGTTAAAAGTTTAAGGGTTTTTAACTTATTTAAAACAAACATGCAATAATCCATTTATCTACCCCCGCCACTGTGGTATTTTAAGAAATCCTGATAGCAGCATGAGTTCTCACTCTTAGTACACGTGTGTATTTTTTAAAACATATTCAGAAACATCAAAATTTGCATAGAGGAACTACACTTTTAACATCTCCAATTCCTTAAAAGTTTTGCTAACAAAGGAAAACTAACTGTTAATCTTAAAAATTGAAGCTCCAAACTAAAGAAACTATCTTTAATCAAGTAAACCACAAAGTGTCTGAAATCCAAACTTAATCCAAACAGCGTTATTTCATTTGATACTATAAAGAATATTTTGATTACAGATTTTGGCTTCAGACTCGATTGTCCAGCAATTCACAGAAGACCAAAACTGTCCTATTACTCACGAGCATCTGGCATGCTGTTGCTTTTTCTTCAAGGCCTGCAGTTTTAATTCCAAAACTTTGCTGATCTCCTAGGTTTACAAATTCCCAGCCATCATCATCACTCATATTCTCCATATCTTGTGCTGTTACACAGAGGGAGAGAAAAAAAAAAACCAAAACACTCTAAACATGCCACAAAATAATTTCAGTACTTTTTCAAGCAAAACATTATTTTAAACCTACTGTCTAAAAGAGCTACTTCAGGTTTAATGGATGCAGTCTTCATTAAAGGTCCCATGACAACAGGAAGGTACTGCTGAAATTCTTTTCCAAGAATTTTACACATTCTGGCCCACGCTGAGATCATGTAAGAAATCTACAAAAGAGAACAGAGTCAGAATTTTCATGTCCCATGTTTTATTTTAATGCATACTTAAGAAGGAAAGCATAAAGGAAGAACATTATACAATAGAATTTTTAAAAGAATTTGTCAGCAGTGCATAGAACTTATTTCAAAGAGAACTCATCCAATATGCAATCCGTATAGAAATGCACCTTCAAAAGAGCTGTCCCAAGTCTTTATTTGTAACAACACATTCACAGCACCTCTGATCAAAGTTGCTATACATGTAAAAATGTGACAGTGTAAGATGTACTTGTAATGCACTCATGACTGTCTTGAAAAGTAAATTTCTTTCTGAAATGAATAATTTCCTGAATTTAAACGACATCACTGAGACACATTCCTGCAAATAGGAAATAGAGCAAAAAGGATTTTTGCTACTATTTTTTCAGAGGAGTATTTGTTTTCAGATGTACAAGTCAAAATAGCTCTCCACTCATTAGAACAGCTGTCTAACAAGTCTTGTTGAACTATGTATAAGAAGGTGACAGCAAGGGAATAGGTCATACAGTGACAAAGAAAAGTAGTTACTAATAGACAAGGAGCGACTACTCATGTGCTGAAATTTCTTCAGCAGGTACTGGAACTCTTATTTCCTAAACATACTTCTGTGAAAGATTCTAAGGCCATCTTAGGGTAATCAAACTCTGTTTTTTGTAAGACGTTGAGTAACTAGTCTGAAGGTGTAATTACATGGCGGGGGGAAATGTCACATGTACAAAGAACATTTTTAATACTAACCAATGAGCTATGCACTGTAAAGAGACAATTTTAACATACCTGGGGATCATCATCTTCTAGATCACTGAAATCTGTCTGTGTCTTCAATAACAGCTGCATTACATCTGATGCATCCTGCATAAACTAGATACAGGAAACAACTATGTTTTTGACAGCAAATTAAAAGGGTACATTTCTGAGACTTAAATGCTCACTTAAACTGTTTGATGTTAAGTCCAATGTACTATCAAGACACAAGCTAAACCTGGGAATAGACTGAAATGTGGATAAAAGTGACAAGTTCTTTTTCTGGTAGCTTCACCAAGTCAGTCTTATCTTAGGCTTCACTGTACCTCTATTCACATACTTGAAAGCAGAGGACTATTTAAATAAAAAAACATCATAAATAAATACTAATACTCACAAAAAATAAGCTAACAATTCTAACTTCCCAGATATCCTCCTTACTATTTTGATTCCTTTATGGAACTGGGATAAAAGCTGACAGCACGAACTACTCATGAGCTAGTAATATTTTAGGTCACATCAAATGCCTCAGTGATGTTACACCTATCCTCTTTTCACTCTGCATGTTCTCAGCAGTCCTCCAAGAATAATTTATTAAACATTAGTTATTTTAAAATCTGTTTAAAATTTAGTTGCATGAATGGTAAGTTTACTGGTAGTCCTTCTAAGTCAAAGCAAAAGGCTGTTAATTTTATTTTTGGGGGGTGGAGGGAGCTATTAGCTTTTTTTTTTGGACTGCATACATCACACTATTTTACTTCCAACTGTGATCTTCTGTTTTCTTCACTCAGTAAAATGAAAATCTGTAAGCCATGTGAACTTGCTATGAGAACATCACTTAAACTCTTATACAGCCCTTCACAGTTGTTTCTCAGTACTTTGTTACAGATACATTTTAACCAACTTACCATGTTATTACCATCAACATCCTGCTAAATATATCAAGCCACATGACAAACAAGTACTTCAAGTTCTATAACGAGCACAGTTAAAATTTTTCAGGTATCCGCATACAAATAACAATGCTGTTTCCTTTTAACTACATACATTTTACCTGCCATTCTGACACTACCTAAATGAGATGCTCCAGTATTTCTCAAGGCAAAAAAAAAAAAACCCAAGAATGAAGAAAAAAAGCTTGTTTTCAACATTGTTCAATACAAGAATAAATTGAGCTGCAATATTTTTTACCGTTACCTCAGAAAGACAGTTACCTCAGAAACAAAAAAATGAAGACAAACAGAGATCAGCAACAACATATCTATGCTTAACAAGTGAATATTAATTCCATGTTAACACCACAGCTTACCTTTTCTTTACCAACAGCAAGACCAATTAGGCTAATGCATTCAATAGTCTTTCCTCGTAAAAGTCTTAATTCCTTCTGAACAGCATTCTCAACAATGTGTTTTAAAGATGGCATAAATAAGTCATAGTAGGGAACAAACTTCTCCTCTGCTGTATCTGCAACTGATGCAATTGAAGTCACAACTTGCTCCAAAACCAGCTTAGTGCCTTTCTGTATCAACTTGGAAAGAGGAAGAATAAAGCATTATGTTTCTAAAGCACATATTTTACTTAAAAGCATGCCAAATCTAAAAAAACCTCTTGTATGTATGCTAATTCTTGTCGGCTTATAACAACATCAGCAGATGTATCTACTGGCTTATTTCAGACATCTTAGTTCAGGTACACTTATTCTTCGTACGTGACAGATCACCCACTGTGAAGCAATTTGTTCAGCATATTATACCTCTTGCAATTTTATCACCATAGTGGAATGAAGATGCTTCACTAGGTTATCCAAATATGGAATAAGCAGCGACTTGGGACAATCTTCAGTGAAGTTTATGAGTGCTGCAGCTGCATGGGCTTGAACACGCTGGTTGCCTTGATCCTCCATGGTTTGCAGAAGAGCTGCTATCACCTAGAACAGAAGTGTTTAATTTCAGAAAAACAAGTTTCTGAAAGGGACACAGTCTTACCACTCTTTTTTACACTATTCTACTACTTGCCTTCTCGTGAAATTTCTTTTGGAAACCAGGTGCGAAGTCAGTGGCCATTTGTCCGACAGCATTACAAGCAGCGTATCTTACTCTTGGATGCTGAAAAAGTATTTTCCTCAAATAGTTAACAAGTAGTCACGAGAGCAGAAATGAAAACATTCTGAAATAATTAATTGAATTAGACTTACAGGATCCTGAAGGAATAGCAAAACAAAATTAACTATCTCATTTAAAATTCCCTCCATCTGTTGGTGGCAACCTTCTCCAATGGCTGAGAGCGCCATCAAGCCAGCATGCCTGTATTGCCAGTCAGCTACAGATGAGCAAGAAGAAAATAAATATCTATTATTCATTTTGGAAACTACAAAGCACCACCAAAGACAAATCATCTTTTTTTTTTTGGG